AGTTGACGGTTCTGTTATTGACGAGAAGAACATCGCAGCCCGTTACAGCGGTTAGAACGTGTCACCTGGGCTCGAGCTGAACAGAGGGCTTTTAGAGAGGGGCGAGCCTCCACTGTCCACGCTGGATTTACAACACGAGACAGAACCAGAGCGTCTGAGAAACAGAACGCAGCACGATAACCGGTCCCACTGAGGGGCCACCGGTCCGCTCTGCTTATGGAAATGGGTTTTGCAGCGAGGCGTGAAGCGGCGTCGGGGTTTGGTTCTAGATGTCCCTTCGCTGGTTCTCCAACGCCGCCCAGCTTTAACTGTATTAGCAGCATTAGCAGTAGCATCAGTAGTATTAGCAGCATTAGCAGTAGCATCAGTAGTATTAGCAGTATTAGTACTTCTGTCTGTATTCAGTGAGTCACAAACTGACTCCAGTTCACAGCAGCTGGAGCGACTGACATGAACCAATCAGAGAACAGAAGTCACAGGACTCCTCCCCCCCCCAGCTCATCCTACCCATAATCCTCTCTGAGCAGAGATAAGCCCCTGTGCTGTGTAATCCCTTTACACTGTTCCCCTGAGGAGGACGTGAATGAATGAAAGAGATTTGAATTGTTCTTCAGAGAACCCAGTTCTCCCCCCCCCCCCCGAGGACGAGTCCAGGACGGCACTTAAAACCCAAACATTTGGTCTGTTTGACCAAATAAAGTCAAACGATGACGAGAAAAAAACACCAGAACCAATCAGAACCAGAAGCGACCCGACCTCACGTCACCCCTTCCTGTCAGTTCACCTGCAGAGCCACCGGGTCTGAACCTGAGGAGCTGGATCAGTCTGCACAGACAGAACCAGACGCCTTAAAGAAATCCAGAGTCTGAGAGGGACCTCTTCAGCTTCACGCCGCTCTGCAGGAGGAGACCATCAGCATGGTGCCTGAACAAAGTACAGTACCGCCGCCAAGCAAAGGTACTTAATAATCTGTAGAAGCTTTGAATAATAAAATCGTTAGCTGAAGCCCTAATCAACAATAAACACAGTTAAAAACAGACAAAAAAACAAAAGCAATCTAGCTACGTAGCTACCTAACCATAGTAGAAGAACAAAGATCGGGACAACAAATCAGCAAAATAAAACGGGCAAAACGCTCTTATTCTGAATGCTCCATGCGGATATGTAGCGTTAGTAAGTGGGTGACAATAAATCGATACGGCAATATATCGTTGTGCATTTTTCCATGATACTGAATCGATATTCCAGCCCAACATATCAATACATAATATTAATTTAAAAAATAGCACTTTGACGGTTAGCTCAAGGCTAACATAATGGGAATCTCCATTAACGTGCTAACGGACATTAGCATCGCGAAAATACAATCTTAACCTAAACTCACATGCTGAACGTCCTGAGTGACACACTGTGCAAATAAAGCCCGTGTTTCCTGAGCTCTGTTTGAAATTAAAGAGTTGCTAACTTCACCGTCTTGATCTGCTGCTCTCCACACAGACCAGCTACAGCAACCCCAAAGGGTCAAAAGTCAAACCCAATATTCCCAGTGGCCTAAAAGAGCGCAGTAGGAAGAGAGGGGCAGCACGCCGCTGCGTCGCCCAACACTTATTAACATAATGTGATGTACAGATTAGACTCAGGTGCTGCTCAGCAGTTTGTATTTGCAGTAAAAAATTCAGTGAATTTGCATTTTGTGCCTTTTACAAACAACAGTTGGATATCGTGATGCATCGCTTTAGGATTGTCAAGCAAATCGATTATCGCAGAATTACTGTATCGTGATAATATCGTTATCGTGAGCCGTGTATCGTGTGGTACGCAGCGATTCCCACCCCTAAAGGTGCGTTCCCACCGAAAGAGAATCCAGCGTTTTGGGCGGCTTGATTAGACAAAGTCAATGCAAAGACTAAATAAGAAAACATAACGCCACAGGCGGCGCCATTATCCCACGTTTTCCTCCAGTACGTTTGTAGTAATTGTACACGCCCCGTGCCCACTCTGAGCAGGTCGGAAACACAAGGACGACAACGCCATGAATCTGTAAGTGCACGACTGTTTAAAAGGGGTCAGATGTTTAATTAATCGCCGTCTTCACGATTAGCTCATTGTGTTCTTTAAAATCGCAATTTCCATTTGAAAACGATTCATCGTTCAGCCCTCGAACACAAACGTTCAGACAAACTTTAAATTAGGAAGAAAAATAAACCAAATATATAAAAGTGGGCGGAGTTTAACAAATCTAGTTATTATAATTAAATCCATTTAAAACGCTTCAGAAAGGCTGACCCGCTGAGAAGTGTCACCGGAGGAACGCCGCCACCAACACTCAGAGGTGAATCACTTCCTGCTGATGTGAGCCAACAGGAAGTCAGCCGGCTCGCCCACAGGAAGTCCAACACACCCAGGGTTCAACCACGTCACAGAGGAACAGCAGGTCTGAAGGGCGAGTCGCTGAGTCGTATCGTAAACGTCACATCCTGCGAGTCACCGAGCGGCAACAAATATGGGGGCTGCGTTTTCTCCACGCAGCCGCCAGACCTTCACCGTCAGCTCTACACGGAAACGTGAATATTGAGCAACCAGCTGATCACTGAAACTATTTCAAAGCTCGTAAGATTTAAAGGCTCCAACAGATCTGTGCCGGTTCTTCAGGGTTCTGGTTCTGGACTTGTGAACATTAATCAGGTAATCTGAGATTATCAAAACTGCAGCTTCAAGAAAAACAACTGAACCAGTGGCCCCTGAGGGTCTGAGGCCCCTGAGGGTCTGAGTGCCCAGTTGGTAATCCAGCCTTGTGATTGGCTGGAAGTGCAGGTGTCTCTCTCACACGGTGATGTTCAGAAACCTGCACCGAGTTTTAGTGCCGCCCTCAGTTCTGTCTGGCAGGCTGACGGGGGGACAGACACGACAGGCACCGCGGGGCTCTCTCCGCCCCGACACCGGGCCGAACCGTCCCTGAAGACCGCACAGACGCCGCGCTCCCCCGGCCCGTTACACCGAGATAAACCCGCTCAGACCTGCTGCGGGTCTGACCGTGGCCCAGTTCCCCGCACACCGAGCTGCACCCAAACTGTCACACACCGAATAAAGCGACACTTCTTCGCCGCTCACCTGCACACACGGCTCCAGAACTACGGCGAACCGGGTCAGCGCTTACCTGCGAGGCCGGGCAGCGCGGCTCGGGCCCGGGTTTATCTCCGCAAACAATCCCAGACAGCGGAGAGGAGAGGAAACTTTAGCCGGAGCTCCGCTCTCTTCCTCCGGTCGCGGAGGGGAGGAGGGAGGGAGGGAGGGAGGAGGAGCGCTCCGAACCGATCCGAGGCCGGGGAGGAGCGCTGAGGTCCGGCTGGGAAGGAGCTCCGAACTGCGGCAGCGGGCCGCGGGAGGAGAAGCAGCCGGCGGAGACGCTTCGACTGACGGACCGAGATCCGCTCAGAGCCGCTCGGATAAAGTTGATCTGCTGCCCTGCTCAGCTGTCGCCATCTTTACCCGCGGGGCATGACGGGTAATCCTCAGGAATCCCGAGCCCCCCTTTAACACCTCCCGCACCCTGCCCCCCGTCACACGTACTGCGTGCTGACGTCACACACCTTAATCTGTGGAAGTGCTCAGGTGGAGCTCAGGTGGATCAATACTGTGAGCAAGTATTCTGCTACTTTACTGAAGTACAAGTACTCAGTACCACCTCCAGAGAGGTACTGCAAGCACTGCATCACAGTTTTACTTCAGTATCACCAGCCACATGTATTTAAAGTGAGTTCAGTACAGTATTTGAGAAAATACGCTTTTCTTCAGTTTTTTACTTTACTCAAGTACTTGTGTATTTCCATTTTCTGCTACTTCAAACTTCAAACTACTGCACTACATTAATCTGACAGCTGTACTTTTACTGCAGTACTGTGCTGAATGCAGGACTCGTGTATATTATGGAGTATTTTCCCTCGCGGGTTAATCAGAGATTTCCATTTATTTAAATAAAGTCACAGAGATTTACTGTCGTCGTCTGCTGCAAGACTCACCTGAGACACCTGAGACTCACCACAAACTCACCTGAGACACCCGAGACTCACCTGAGACTCACCCGAGACACCTGAGACTCACCGAGACCACAGAGACTCACATGAGACTCACCAGAGACTCACATGAGACTCACTTGAGACACCTGAGATTCACCAGAGACTCACCTGAGACACCTGAGACTCACTAGAGACACCAGAGACTCACCTGAGACTCACCCGAGACTCAACTGAGACTCACCTGAGACACCAGAGACTCACCTGAGACTCACCTGAGACTCACATGAGACTCACCCGAGACACCTGAGACTCACCTGAGACCACATGAGACTCACATGAGACTCACATGAGACTCACCAGAGACTCACATGAGACTCACCCGAGACACCAGAGACTCACATGAGACTCACCGGAGACATCTGAGACTCACCCGAGACTCACCAGAGACTCAGCAGAGACTCACATGAGACTCACTGGAGACTCACCCGAGACCCAGAGACTCACATGAGACTCACCGGAGACATCTGAGACTCACTAGACTCACCAGAGACTCACCAGAGACTCACTGGAGACTCACCAGAGACTCACCAGAGACTCACCCGAGACACCAGAGACTCACATGAGACTCACCGAGACATCTGAGACTCACTAGAGACTCACCAGAGACTCACCAGAGACAGCTGAGACTCACCAGACTCACCAGAGACTCACCAGAGACTCACATGAGACATCTGAGACTCACCAGAGACTCACATGAGACTCACATGAGACATCTGAGACTCACCAGAGACTCACATGAGACATCTGAGACTCACCAGAGACTCACCAGAGACTCACATGAGACTCACATGAGACATCTGAGACTCACCAGAGACTCACCAGAGACTCACATGAGACTCACCAGAGACTCACACATAGACACAGAGATCACCAGACTCACATGAGACATCTGAGACTCACAGAGACTCACCAGAGACTCACATGAGACTCACATGAGACTCACATGAGACTCACATGAGACATCTGAGACTCACCAGAGACTCACATCAGACTCACATGAACTCACATGAGACATCTGAGACTCACCAGAGACTCACCTGAGACCACCTGAGACTCACCAGAGACACCACTCACCAGAGACTCACCAGAGACACACCAGAGACACACCAGAGACACACCAGAGACACCGGAGACTCACCAGAGACTCACCTGAGACTCACATGAGACATCTGAGACTCACCAGAGACTCACCAGAGACTCACATGAGACTCACATGAGACTCACATGAGACATCTGAGACTCACCAGAGACTCACATCAGACTCACATGAGACTCACATGAGACATCTGAGACTCACCAGAGACTCACCTGAGACTCACCTGAGACTCACCAGAGACACCTGAGACACACCAGAGACTCACCAGAGACACACCAGAGACACACCAGAGAACACACCAGAGACACCGGAGACTCACCAGACTCACCTGAGACTCACATGAGACACCTGAGACTCACTAGAGACACCAGAGACTCACCTGAGACAGACTGAACGGGAGAGATAGTCAGTAGATGGGCAGTAGGATCAGGAGTGTGTGTGGTCACGTGACCTGATCAGGTCTGTGTGTTCTGAGTGTGTAAATCTGTGACTGATTTGTTCATATTGATCTGGAGTTTCTCACATGTTAACAAACCTCCCGAGCTGTTTCTGCAGTCTAACTTCAAACGTGGCGTTTTCCTTCCAGGTTCTTGCGGCGGTTTCTGCTCTTTTTAAAGTTGTTTCTAACTTTATTGGACGATGCAGAGCGGAGATCTGACAGACGCTGCGGCTGCAAAGCTGCTGTCTGACACAAAGTCTCTGATAAATTTAGTCAAATTTAAATTCACATGAGTCAAAACTCCCACAGAAGAACTCCAACAAGTCACCAACCAAAAACTATATTTATTAATAATTCCCTCAGTTCTGTCTGCAGGTGTTTTCTTGATTCGTCCCTCAGTTCTGTCTGCAGGTGTTTTCCTGATTCAGTTCCTCAGTTATGTCTGCAGGTGCTTTCTTGAGTCGTCCCTCAGTTCTGTCTGCAGGTGTTTTAATGAGTGGTCCCTCAGTTCTGTCTGCAGGTGTTTTGTTGAGTCAGTCCCTCAGTTCTGTTTGCAGGTTTGTTGAGTTTGTCAGCCTGATTGCGTGACTTTGTGTTGTAAAGTGGCAGACCATTCTCATCTCAGGGTGTCCATACCAACGCTTTCAGAAAAAGTGAAGCGCTGGTATTGCTTTTGCAAATAACTTCAGCATAGTTATTTGCGCTAAAGGTACCCTTCACGTCTGTGTGCAACACTCCTGGATGTCCCAGACGTTTCATAATGACCGGATGTGCTAGATACGTTCATGTTAAAAGTGTTGACGGCCCCGACGCCCCTTACCCCTACCATAACCATCACAATTGTAAGTGCCGAAACCTAGTCATGGACTTTCTGCATGTCGACCGGCTAACCCCACAGCCTCCTTTGTGTTGCTGTGACACTAAAGGTACCTTTAGCGTCAATAATTACGCTTTGTCACGCTTGTCCAACGAAGGTTAAAATCAAGGGCAACTTTACTTGAAGATACTGGACGTTTTGTCTTCTTCAGTTCTGACTG